TGTTTAAAGACCTCCAAAGAAAGAGACTCCACCAAAATCTCCAAGGGAGAATGTCCCAATGTCAAACAGCTCTCTGTCAGGAAATTCCTCCTAATGTTGAGCTGGAATCTCTTTTCCTGTAGCTTGAATCCATTGCTCTGGGTCATATTCTCTGGAGCAGCAGAAAACAAGCTTGCTCTATCCTCGATATGACACCCCTTCAAAGATTTAAACAAGGGTTATCATCTCACCTCTTAACCATCTCTTCTCCAGGCTAAACATCCCCAGCTCCCTAAGGGCCTTTACAGACTGCCAGAAATAATGCAGCTTGAGGCCACTTTAACTGCCCTGGCTCTGTGCTAGGGAATCATGGGAATTATATTTTTTTCTGGGGCATTGAGCCTTCTCTGTTAGAGAGCTCTGGTGCCATAATAAACTACAGTTCCCATGATTCCTTAGTACTGAGACAGGGCAGTTAAAGTGGCCTCAAGCTGCATTATTTCTGGCAGTCTGTAAAGCCCCTAAGTCTCTCCTTATAAGTCATGGTTTCTAGAACCTTCACCATTTTGGTTGCCCTGTTAGATAGCCCTGTTTTAAGTATTTGAAAGGATGTTGTACTGAAGATGGAGCAAGAGATTTGATGATTCTAATTCCCACCGTTCCTCATTATCAGTTACACAGACGAGGGCTGCTGGGACTTGGGAGTCCAGTATCAGCTGGAGGGCTACCTGATTTCCACCCTGATTTATGGCATACGTATTGGGGAAAGGACCATAGCTCCGTGGTAGTGCCTTACCTGAAGGAAGTCACCATGGAATCCTTGGGATCTTGAACTTAAAGGATCAGGTTGGAGGGGAAAGACCTCTGCCCTAGACACCAGAGATCCATTGCCAGGGGCAGCAAACAATACTGGGATAGATGCACAAACAGACTTGCCTTACTGTAAGCCTGCTTCCAATGCTCCTATTTGGTTAAATCACCAGCACAAAGGATCATAGAGTTGGAAGAAATCCCAGGGGTGGACGTAGTGTGGCTCTCAGGCTTGACAGTCCCTGATGCCACCACCTGTCCACCAAAGCCCCCAAATTTTAAAAAATATGCTGTTCCAAGCACCTTTTGCCCCCAAACCATGCTGAAAAAGTAGTCTGTTTCATTACTGAAGACTGCTATCAGGAAGTTCTTCCTAATGGTTAGTTGGACTCTCTCTTCTTGTAATTTTAATCCATTGGTTTGTGTCCGTCTCTTGAGTTTCTAGAGCAGCAGAAAACAAGGGTTGCTCCATCTACTACATAGCATCCCTTTAGAATCATAAGAGTTGGAAGGTACCTCAAGGGCCATTAGATCCAATTGCCAGCTCAGTGCAGTATGTTGCAGTGGTTCCCAACCTTTGGTCCTCCAGATGATTTGGACTTCAGCTCCCATAATTTCTGACTGTTGGCCAAATTGGCTGGGGCTTCTGGGAGATGAAGTCTAAAACCAAGAGAGAACCAAAAGTTGGGAACCACTGAGCTAGAGCATCCCCAGCAGGTACCTGTCCAGCCTCTTTCTGAGGACATCCAGAGAAGAAGACCCCACCACCTCCCTCTCTAGGCAACGGCTTCCACTATGGGACGGCTCTCACTGTCAAGAGGTTCCTTCTAATGTTCAGTTGAAATCTACCCTCCTGTCACTTAGAAGCTATTATGGTACTTTCAAAAAAGTAGCCCCGTTAGTCTCTTGCAGCATGAAAAGGAGGAAGGAAGGGGGATGAAAATAAAGAAGAAATGCTGCAGTACCTTTATTGCATGAACCACTTCTTTGGATTTAGTATGGAGTACATTAAATCGAGTTCAACCCTCAGGGGCATCAGAGAACAAGCCTGCCCCCTCATCTCTGTGGAAACCCTGGAAATACTTCCAAGAGTGCAATCCTGTCACCCCTCAGTCTTCTCTTCACCAAGTTGAACATGCCCAGTGTGGCACTGTGGTTTGAATGGTGGACTATGGCTCTGGAGACCAGGGTTCGATTCCCTGCTCAGCCATGAAACCCACTGGGTGATCTTGGGCAAGTCACATGCTCTCAGCCTCAGGGGAAGGCAATGGCAAACTTCCTCTGAGCAAATCGTGCCAAGAAAACTCCATGATAGGGTCACCGTAAGTCGTAAACAACTTCAAGATGCACAACAACATGGACTGTAGCAAATTCCTACCACATTTACCTCCATAGGAAACATACCCAGCCCACGCAACTGTTCCTCTTAGGCAGGGGTAGGCAACCTTTCCCCTTTAAGGGCCGAAGGACTTCAGCTCCCAGAATCCCAGGAGCTATTGGCCAACATGGGACTATTGGCCAACATGGCTGAGGCTTCTGGGAGCTGAAGTCCCTCGGCCCTTAAAGGGGAAAGGCTGCCTACCCCTGCTCTTAGGGTTTGTTCTCCAGACCCTTTGCTGTCCTGGTTGCTTTCCTCGAAAGGCCAGGGTTTCTCAGTTCCCTGGAAACCTCTCAACCCCTTTTTCCAGGTGGAGCTAATGTTCCTTACTTTCAGTGTAATAGCACCTGCATCTTTTCAATACGAGACAGTCCTCTTGGGGAAAGATGTGCCTGCAAATACAAGAACACTGCCTCATTCTGTGCCATGCGCTTGGTCCTCATAATCAATTCCTGTCAACTCTGGCTGGCTCTGTAGTGTTTCAGGCAGGATCAGTCCTTAGTCCTACCCGGCAATGTCTGGATTTATTCCTCGGTGGCTTCCCATCTAAGTATCAATCAGGCCGAACCCTGCTAACTTCCAAAATCAAACAAGATCAGGGAGATGTGGTGGGGCTGGGCAAGCAAGGACAGGTTTGGGTGCATGATGGGAGGCAGAACCAGAGGCATTAAAGGGGGCAAACAAGGCATAAAGATGGGACCAGAGCTCAGAAAAGCTACCTTTTGGACCGCAAGTCCCAGAATCCCCTCATATAGCTTTCTGAAGTTCTACAAGCCAATTGTGGTATGTGGTAACAGGTATAGTATTCTTGTAGGGTTTTTACAGAATCAGCACTAGGAAGATTATGAAGCATGGCTGGAGAAACAGATACTTGTCAGGTTGCAGCAGTGTGACTGCAATAAACAATCCAATAAAGCCTTGAGTCAGGAAAGAATGTAATTCTGGTCTTGTTGTTTGTTGTGTGCCTTAAAGTCATTTCCGACTTATGGCATCCCTAAGGCGAACCTATCATGGGTTTTTCTTGGCAAGATTTGTTCAGAGGTTTGCCATTGCCTTCTGCTGAGGTTGAGTGTGTCTGACTTGCCTAGGGTCACCCAGTGGCTTTACATGGCTGAGCTGGGATTCGAACCCTGGTCTCCAGAGAACTAGTCCAACACTGGCTTTTGATTCTGCTCTGCCCAGTCCTAAAGCAGACATGTGTGCCTGCCTGTAGCAGGCAAGGTAAGCAGCAGCTGCCTCCAGAATCCCTTACTAAACATGTATGAGCAGAAAAACAGACAGAAGAGGGCAGATAAGCCTGCCTCACCATCCACCCCAATCTATTTAGAAAGCATAGATCTATTCATTTGGCCACCAAAGTGGAAATCATAAGTAAAGCAAAGACTGATTAAAGAAATAAAATCATCCTCAGACGCATTTTTGCAAGAATCATAGAATTGGAAGAGACCCCAAGGTCTTCCTAATGTTGAGGTGGAATCTCTTTTCCTGTAGCTGGCATCCATTCCTCCATCTCCTATTCTCCGGAGCAGCATGAAACAAGCTTGTTCCATCCTCAATATGACACCCCTTCAAATACTTAAGCAGGGCTATCATAGCACCTTTTAACCACCTCTTCTCCTGGCTAAACATACCCTCTTCCTTAATCTGATTCTCATAGGGTTTGGTGGTTTCCAGACCCTTCACCATTTTGGTTGCCCTCCTCTGGACATGCTCCAGCTTCTCAACATCTTTTTTGAATTGTGGTGTCCAGAACTGGACACAGTATTCCACATGAGGCCTGACCAAAGCAGAATTGAGTGGCACCATTACTTCCCTTGATCTAGACACTGTACTTCTATTGATGCAGCCTAGCATCGCATTGGCCTTTTTAACTGCTGCATCACTCAAGTTCAACTTGTGGTCTACTAGGACTCCTAGATCCCTTTCACATGTTGTCTTGTAAAGCCAGGTGTTCCCCATCCGATATCTATGCATTTCCTTTTTTTCTGCCTAAGTGCAGTACCTTACATTTCTCCCTGTTGAAGTTCATTTTGCTTCCAAGCAGTCCCTTGAAAGTTTAAAATTATTTTGTTTGCTTATGGTTGGATTATTTCACTTCATATATGCATAATGCCAGTTCCAAATAAAAAGCTTGCTGAAACATGCTGCTTTTCTTTCTTTTTGTGCAGAAACCTATTGCTATTATTTCCATGTTCTTTCTGCCTCTGGTACCAAATTTTCTATTAAAGAAGTAATGCCCAGGAACACATTTGACTTTGTCAAGTGAGGTATACCTGTATTTTCATGTGCATCTTGACAATCCTTGAAGTTTGGAAGTTTGCTTTATACACATTCAGGAACACACACTCACTCACATGCTTTCAGAGTTCTGGATTCTATGATACAAACCAAACCAATATTAAATTCTGCATTTTATGAGAGACCAGAAAGAAGATGACAGCAAGCTATGGACACATCTGTAACAATTTATTGAATGAGGCAATAAGACACAATGGGGGAAACAACAGGAAATTTCCATGCTCTGCTACAGGACCAAGGTGGTGGTTGTGGCAGAAATGAGAATGGCTTCTCTTTGGGATTCAGGGCAATAATTTCTCAGTTTATCAGAACGTTATTCCATTTGCCAAAAATAAAAGGGAACACTGACTTTAAGTCACACCTGACATCTTCACAACAACAATTTCTTTAAAAAATATATATTTAAAATTAAAAATTAAAGAAAGCAAACTGAATCTGGAAGGGGTGTGTGTGATTCCATTCCATCAGTCTAAGTCCACAGGAGAGAAAGTATATAAACAACTGTTGATATTTTCCACTAAAAAATAAAGCCAAGTAAATATACAAACCTGAAAGGAGAAAAGAAAAAGAAAGCTTGCCTTCACAGGCCAGGAAGGATGTGGAGTGGTTTGGGGAATGGCATTGCATGTAAAGTAAAGTAAGAACAAAATTAAATACTGAAATTACTCCATGAGAAAAGAAGCAGAGCTCATCTGTGCAGAAGCAACGGCTTTTCTGTGGGGAGTGGAGAGCCTGGGCTTCTCTAAGAGGCAAATATTAGGGAAAATGCTTTCTGGGAGGGCTGCTCAGTTCAGTTGTGGAAAGAGAGGGGAAATGAAATGAGGATGCCTGATGTGAGCTGGACATTTTTGGAAAAGAGCACCCTGATGTTTCAGACCAGGAACTGCCAGGAATGGAAGGTTCCCAAAGGCCAGGACAACACAAAGGGGAAAGATGTGGCTTATGGTTGTGAAGGCCATCATGTCAAGAAGAGCCTTGGTCAACACCTCAGCCACCCAGCAGACAGTCTGGGAAAGTGGCCAGCTAGGCTCATGGAAATATCATCTGTACCCCTTCACTACACTTCCCATCACTTCTCAAGGCTCCCCTATGCCTTCTGATTATTATTTTTTTGTAACCCAAGGGAAAAGTTTTTTTTAAAAATGCAGGCAAATGCCGATTCAAGCGGGGAGGACAAGGAAGGGAAGCATTGGGGTCAGGTTTCAAGCACGAACTTAGAAAAGGAAGGAAGTGGAGTCAGATCTGATCCAACAGGTCTCCCAAGAACCACAGATCCCTTTCTCACAGGGATCCAGAGTCTATGGATCACAGCCCGCGCTGTTTCCTCCAGGAGATTCTTACGCTTTTAACGCCTCTTCAAGAAAAAAAAATCATTTTCCAAATGGTCTCTCTTGTTAAAAAAAATTTATGTCCATGTTAAAATGACACCTAATTCTTGCCATGAGGAGGACAGCAGAGCAGACTGGCTCTGTGCACCTCTGCAGGAATGGGTCCTTGAAAGTCTATGGGAATCCCCATTTCAGACCCCCAGGAAGGGAGAGAAATCCATCTTTTCCCCCCACATCTCAGCCAGACTATAATCAAGAGTGGTCCATACAAGGTGGGAGAGGAAAGCTTGGCTTTGCCTGCCCCAGGTGGGGTTCCTTACACTTGCCGGATCAGAGGGGTACTAGAAAGGTACCAACCTTCACCCTTTTGCTCTCTCTATTCCCCCCCTGTATTGTTAACAAAACCCTTTTTTTGCCACTTCCAAAGCTGTGAGACTCAAAATGCCACCTGATTGCGTCTCCAGAGAGGCGTAGAAAAAAAAATCTCCGCAGGCAAGAGAGAGGAACAAGCAGCCGTGTCACGCTCCTGCCACGTTGCACTCACTGCTCCAGTGTCACTACTTCCACTGCCTGGCCGTCCATGGTGACAGTGCTGTCTGTTATCCTGGCGGCCACTGGAGCCATGGCCACCTGGACAGGGCCGTTCCCTTGGGCGAGGCTGGTGACCACGGTCTGGTACATGCTCACTGGGATCTGGACGAGTCCTGGGGAGGCAAAAGAGAAGGAAGAGGGTCAGTCGGAGGCTGGCAGGGGAGGCTCTTCTTTTTTATTTACAAGACCAGGATAAAGGCCTTTGGATAAGAAACGTGACCAATTTCAACATCAATTTTAGAAAATTTGAGACAGCAAAAAGGGTCCAGTTCTCTGGACTAATTTTTAAAAATCTACCCAATTTATATCCTGTCTTTCTCCTGTTTTGGGACCCAAGGCAACCTACAACAAATTAAAGCAGAGAGAAGCTAATGCCTATTTAATGTATTAAAATAAATAAATAAATTAAATAAACAATTTTTTTAGAACCTCTAAATTGAAACCATTTTAAAACACATTAAAACAGAGTAAAAAGGAACATGCCCTGTTAAAAGACCCAAGCACACACTATTAAAAAATCTCTGGCCAGAAAAAGCAGAGATGAAAGCTAACCTAAATAAAAAGGTATTTGCCTGCTGGTGGAAAAAGGGCAGCGATGGGGCTAACCAGGCCTCC